GTGAGGAATTGACCTCCAGGCCAATTGGCTGTGAGAATCAGCTATGTCTGCGGTGGGAGAACTTCTGTGCTGGAGACACCCCTCTGGGGCTAGACTTGCTTCGATGGGGCTTTGGTGCTCATTGAGTCTGCCCCCTGAGTGTGTCTTTTATGGTTCCACGGAGCTGCAAACTGGATGGTCCCAGTCTGACCTCTGGGCTTCCTGGCTCCTGGATCTCTAGGGAGGGGCTAATCTAGCCTTCGCCTGCGGCTATCTAGCAAAAGCCTCCCTGCAGGGCTTGGGCAGGGCAGATCCCCGGGATCAACAGGGTGGAGCTAGCAGTTATGGCTGCTCTCAGTCTTGTCCTCAGAGGCTCTGCTTCTCAGTGTCCCGGTAATCGCTGCAAGCCCCTCGGAGAGAAAGCTGCCCTCGGGTTCTGACCGATGCCAGACAGTCCAGCTTCTCCCGTTTGAGTCTGGGTCCCTAGAGACTTGCCCAGAACTAGAGCTCAGAGCCTGAGACTCCCTCCCGATTGAAAATGACAACCGCACCCTCAGCCGCCAGCCTGCTCCGCATGCACTCCGCACCTTAGTATTTTACTTCCACACTGCACCTCCTCTGAGTCTTGGTATGCTTTTCTTTTTCCTTCTAGTTGTAGAATTTCCACTCAGCCAGCCTTCCTGTGGTTCTGGATGATGTCCTTTCCGTCTTTTAGTTGTATTTTTGAAGTGGTTGTTTGAGGCAGCAAACTCTGGTGTTTACCTATGCCACCATCTTGGTTCTCCTCCTTTGAGTTACTCTTAAATCGTATCATATAGGGAACCGTGAAACATCAAATTTTCTTATAGGTAAGATTAGCCTCATTTTAGAGAACAAATGTTTCTAAATCCTTCTGCAGTATGTCTATTACTTGCCAAAAGAAGGTAGACAGTAAACATGTGAATGCAGGCGTAGTAAGAACTGTAGAGATGTACAAAGACCTTTCAGCTACCTGGGCTTGAATCCACCTATTGTTCGGTGGCCACTTTTAAGTACTTCTCTCTCTGGTTCAACAACTCCCATCTTTACAATAAAAACAAAAAGTCAAAGCTCATTAATGATAGTCACTGACTGCGCGTCTCTCTTGCCTTTGTCCTTTTGCTTTGTCTTTCTTGCCTTGAGCTTCCCCCTCTTTTCTTGGTTTACTTTTGAATGAAGACTTTTATAGAGAAAGAATAAAAATAACTAAAATGCCATTTCTAATCTCAACACTTTTGTTTTGTCTTTTCCTTTTCTTGCATTTAAGGGCGAACCTCCTTCCCACTCCTTGTGTCTTAAAGAAAATCCTTTTTATTATATTGTGGTCTGCTTAGAAGTGAGGGTTTTTATCTTCATTAGGTGACAGTGCCTGTTTCTGAACCTTACATTTCCCTGGTTACAGTTTTACCAGGATAACCGTTCGGAAGTATGTAGGACAGATTTCTGTGTGACATATTGGGCATGCGTGGGCTACATTCTGTGCCAGCACATTAGACTATTTAAAAAAAGTCAGTGTGAAAATGGCAGAAGTTCTTGCTTACTAACCTAGGACGCTCTTGTTCCTTGAGGAACCGTGAAACATCAAGTTTTCTTGTAGGTAAGATTAGCCTCATTTTAGAGAAAAACATGTTTCTAAGTGCTTCTGCAGGGTGTCTATTACTTGCCAAAAGAAGGTAGACAGGGCGCATTGCATTTGGGGAAAGGCTTTGGAGAGTAAGGCAGAGAGGAATGACTTGGGTTCATTAGCCTTATGCTTGGGGACCAGTGGTGACTGAATGCTCACCTTCTGTCCAGCTATGATTACCATAATTACAGAGATTTGGTGCTACTAATTCCTGGAAATTCTGCCAAATTTAGCATAAAAACAGAAGTTCACCAACCTTGGCAAGATGAAAGAAGAGATGTGTAAGGAGGAGGAACAGACAGCAGGATTAGGTGACCACCCATAACAGGAGTGTTAAGAACACCTGCAAGACAGAGAGGCCATTGTCAGAAGTGGGGGTGGGGGCACTGAAAAATATATATAAATGTTTCTCTTGAGTCGTCATCACCCACCCCGAGTCATATTCAGTGGAGCTCTGTGGAATGAGGGTGAACTTAGGTCACCATGTTGTGCTATTTCATAAAACTGTCATCTAAATAAGTACATAAAAATGTGTGACTCAGGAGGAAAAACAGGAGAGCAGAAAAGGGCAGAGACCTTTAAGATGACAAGCGTTGAATTCAGGGGGTGGGGTAGATGGAAAAGGCAAAGATAGGGCCAAGTAACAGTGTCTGGTAATCTTCAGAGAATAGATACTGAAATGCTCAGAGTTCATAAAGGTTGGCTTGAAATCAGGTATCCCTGGAAGAAGATGGAGTTGGCTTTAATTTGGTGCCACAGGCTCAGCAACATTTAAAGATAACTGGCTGCATTTCCTTTCTGCCTTGGTCTCCTGGAGCATATGGTCTGTGTAGGCAGCGCGGTGAGGCAGGTGACAGCATCTCGCATAGACTCTGGGTGAACTGTTCACTGTCTTGTTGTCTAGGCCATGGGCTTCAGGAGACGGTGACGGTGTCTGTGTGCCTCTGCTCAGAGGGTTACTCCCCGGTGACCATGGGCTCTGGATCTGTGACCTACGTGGACAACATGGCCTGCAGGCTGGCCCGTCTGCTGGTCACCCAGGCTGATCGCCTCACTGCCAGTAGCCATCAGACCTTGCTGACCCCGTTTGCCCTGACGGTGGGAGCGCTGCCTGCTTTGGACGAGGAACTCGTGCAGGCGCTGACCCATCTGGAGTTGCCTCTTGGGTGGACCGTCTTGGGACATTCTTCACTTAAAGGTGAGTCTTCACCAGAAAATGTGCATGTCTCCTCTCTGTGTCAAGTTCAGAATATGTCTTACAATTTATTGTCTGTTTTCCTGGGTGGGTTTTCCTACCCACTTGTGACCCAAGCCTCGATCTGATGTGGCTGGTTTTCCTGAGGTCCTGAGCCACTCATCTCTGGGCTGGTTGATGCTACTCTGTTCCAGGAGGAGAGTTTTGCCTCAGGAGGAAACGGCTCTTCTTTGTGGAAGGCTTGTGAATCAGCTGCTCTGGGCTGTGGCTCCCCTTCCCTCAGCACGTTTGCTGGGAGAAGGGGATATTACTGCCTGTGTCCAAGTAGGTGGAGTCATGGGCAATGAAGAGCATGCAGCCAACTCTGTGGGACATTTAGGCGAAATGTGGCCATGAAGGAAATGTAACCATTGTGTTGACATCTTTAAAAATGTCAGTGTCACTGCAAGCATTCATACTGTATTTGTACTAACTTCTGGAGTTACCTCCGGATGCCTCCTGTTTACGAAAAGACTGAATAGACTGTAAATACCAACCATTTGGAATGTGTGTGAACAGAGATGATGTTGTATATCAGCCCATACTAGGCATGAGGCTAAATTGTTCAATAGATGTTTTTATGTGATACAAATGACATATTTTTGTTGGAACTACAGAGATGTTGCTCTGTATTTTTTTGAACATGACATATACTATTGCTACTTTTCTGTATTCTTCCCATGACTTTAGTTTTGTGGTTGGATAATGCTATTTTCAAGAGTTTCTGCTTCCTGATAAAATCTGGAAATGGATTGAAAATGGCAGACTGTTACAGGTTGATTTAAATTTGATCATGAATAACATGAAATGCACTACTGTAGGTAAAGAGGTATGATTTTTGTAAGCAGAATTATACAGCCATTGCTACAATCAAAGAGGATCTCTGTTTCTCTTTGTTAATCAGGGTTTTACTAAAACTCTCCTGGACACTTAAGAATGTTTCTTATTTCTTAAGACCTCAAATGAGAGAAGTCACAAGCCCAGTTGAGCGTTAAGCATGTCTGACTCCTGTGTGCTGCACTGTGCAATAGCTGACTGATAGGTGTGCAGGTGTGGGCTCCCTGAGGGAGTGTGTGGTGTCTGTTCTTATCGTTAACCCCAAGGACCTTGCAAAGGGCTTGGAAGATAGCAGGTGCTTAAGAAGTATATGTTGGATGAATGAAGGTTGTATCCTTAGACCTTCAAGGAATTGCACAACCTATATATCACTGTTTTAATTCTCCTATATACATATATAGGAGGAAAAAATGTTTTCTGGATAAGAAACTTTATTCATATTTATACATACATATGCATATTCATATATGAATCCATTATATATACAGGGTGTCCCCAAAAATGTATACACACTTTGAATGAATATAAAGTCAGTGTTTATTAATATACAGTTCATTTTCAAAATTTAAAAGAATCTACAGAAATGAATAATGTCTTCAAACTGATGACTGATCTGGTCCAGGCACTGCTGATAAACGCAAAGCAGGGGAATCACTAACATCACGAATCATTCGCTCGGTATTTGTGTGCCCTCAATTTGTCCGCTATTGCCAGTTTTGTGCTTTAAACTTTATCTTTCATGTATCCCCATAAAAAAAAAGTCTAGTGGCACTTCAGGATAAATTTTCTTTGTTCAAAACTTAGTCTGGCTTCACCCATTATTTCAAATCAGTTAAACCTGAAAAGGAGTGAAAATTAAATGAGTTATCAGCTGTTAAAGTGTGTATACATTTTTTGGAAACTGTGTGTGTGAGTGTGTGTGTATAAATTCATTATATATATTTTCTGGCGAAGGATCTTCATTTTCTTAAGTTTTGTGGCTTTTAAAGAAATCCTAACAATAACATTTGAGGGTGTTTTATTATTTGGAAGGCAGATGCATTTTGACAAAGAATTAAAGCTTTCATAATTTCTTGCTGGTTGCTATATGCAAGGCCATAGTAAAGATCCTCAAAACTCACAGAGGCAGATGCGGGGCAGTCCCAAGGCTCCTTCCCTCGCCAGCAATTCCCTCAGCATCGCAGCGTGGAGTCTGCATTGGTTCAATATGCGCCTCTGGCAGACTGTTGAAAGTAAGGAATATATAAATGTGCATGAATGGCTTAAACTGAGAGTCTCCAAATGGGAATTATGTTACTCACATGCTATATTTATTTTTCATCCCCAAATCTATATATATAAAAGCCTAAGCAACCAAACAACCAGTCGACTGGTTGCTATGACATTCACTGACCACCAAGGGCAGACGTTCAATGCAGGAGCTGCCCCCTGGTGGTCAGAGCGCTCCCCCAGTGGGAGTGCCCCTCAGCTGACCAAACCATCCCAGAGGCCCACCAGCCTGGCAGCAGCCACTCACTCGTTCAGTAGTCCTGCAAGTCCAATCTCTGGAGAATGGGCCAGGCTCCGATGGACCGGTGGGTACCGCCAGCACAATCCCGACAGCGTCGCTGGCCTCCTGGAAGTTGGCCTCGGGCACTGTGGCTGCTTCCCCTCCCTAGATGCTCCACAAGGAGGAGACGATATAAAAGTGGCTGCCAGGTGGCTCTTGACAACTGGCACGAACGTCAGCGGGGACAGATCTGGATCCTGGGCCGGCAAGGGCAACCTCCTGGAGGGCTGATCGCATCCTGACCCCCCCGCCCCCCCGCCCCCCCCCAGGAAGGGCGCCAGAAGCAGGCCTCATGGCTGGTGAATGCCGCTATGGCCCTGGAGGGCATCGCATCCTGACCCCCCCGCCCCCCCGCCCCCCCCCAGGAAGGGCGCCAGAAGCAGGCCTCATGGCTGGTGAATGCCGCTATGGCGGTGTGAGCCCCTCCCAATCAAGACTGACTGGGTGCGAGCCTGCGGGGGGTGCACAGCAGGGCCAGGATGAGCAGGAGTGGCAGGCAGCATTGAACTGCCAGTTTTGGGCCAATCCCCCAGGCCACGCCGAGGGACCCCACCCATGCACAAATTTGTGCACCGGGCCTCTAGTTTAGAAATAAATTAAGATTTCCTAATCTTTAATTTGTGAATTGGCAATAGCACATGCATGCAATTTTCTGAGCAGGGCTGTTGAAGGCAGGACACAGTGAGCATCACTCATTCATAGAAGCGCCAGGAGTTGGAGCCAACTCAATAGCATGTTTTGTGCACAGCCTGTGTTAGAAGTGCATGTTTGGTCATTTTTGCTGACAGAGACACTGGGCTACCCCCAGGTAGCTAAGGGTCATTTTATTACAATTTTTATTGCTGTTAGGATATGTATTCTTTTTTTAAAAATATATTTTATTGATTTTTTTTTACAGAGCGGAAGGGAGAGAGATAGAGAATTAGAAACATCAATGAGAGAGAAACATTGATGAGAGAGAAACATCGATCAGCTGCCTCCTGCACATCTCCTACTGGGGATATGCCCGCAACCAGGGTACATGCCCTTGACCGGAATCGAACCTGGGACCTTTCAGTTCGCAGACTGATGCTCTATCCACTGAGCCAAACCGGTTTTGGCAGGATATGTATTCTTGTTTTCCAAGCCTCCATCTATCATGCCCTTTAGATTATCCATATCTTTATAATAGGCTGACTTATGCCACCAAGAGGCCCTTCCTGACATTTGTCATACTTATATAGAAATATGTATTTTTATGAGAGGAAAACTGGAGCAGTTCATTTTTGTGGTGAGGCATTGTATTCTATGGGAGAACAACTCTGGTGTCACAGCCATTAGAAAGCTGCTATGGGGCCAGGTTCAAATCCTGACCCTGCTGCTTCCTGGCTGTGAGACCTCTTGGACAAGTTATTTTAGTTCCGATGCTGCCAAGTTACACTTTCTAAAAAATGGGGCACAGTAGTACCCACTTCATTGGTTTGTTGTGATGGTTGAATTAGATAATTCTAATTAATGGTATAGCTATATGGTGAAGCCTCTAGAACAGTGGTTGGCAAACTGCTGTTTGTGAGCCACATGCGGCTCTGTGGCCTCTTGAGTGTGGCTCTTCCAGAAAATACCACGTGCGGTGCGCACATACAGTGCGATTGAAACTTCGTGGCCCATTCGCAGAAGTTGGTATTTTGTGGAAGAGCCACACTCAAGGGGCCAAAGAGCTGCATGTGGTTCGTGAGCCGCAGTTTGCCGACCACTGCTCTAGAACTGTGTCTGAATATACTAAGTTCTCAGTCTAAGTTGACTTTTGTGAGTGTATATGAATGGATTTCCATATATAGAGAATATATTGTATGTACATAGGTGGAAAGCAAATTGCATTTGGTCTGGACAAACGAAGCTACTGGCACAGGGGTAAAATCCTGGTCTTGTAAGCAATTCCTAGAAGATTTCTAGGAACGCTTTTAGACTACTAGAACACTTTATAGTACAGGTAACATTGCCTGCAGCCTAGACTTGTAATGGAACTTCTCTCTACCATCAGTGTTAAGGGACAGGGTTAATATTTCTTTTTCTTTTTGCTCCTCTGAATGGATGAATTCCACTACCCTATCTTCAATTTCACTGATTCCTTCTTCCATTAAACTAATCTGCTGTTGAACCCTTCTATTGTATTTTTCATTCCAGTGATTACATTCTCCAGCTCTGTGATTTGTTTGGTACTTTTTAATATTTTCTGTCTCTTTGTTGAAATACTTTGTTTATATATTGCTCTCCTGACCTTGGTGAGCATCTTTATGGCCATGATTTTGAACTATCAGATAAATTACTTATCTTTATTTCGTTAAATTCAGTTTCTGGAGATTTACCTTTTTATTTACAACATAGTCTCCTGTTTCTTCCTTTTTTTCTGTTGGTTTCTGTGCATTACATAAAAGAGACACCTCTCCCAGTCTGACAGACTAGTCTTGTGTGGGAGATGAACTTCATTAATCAGCCCGGCCCAAGCTTCTGGTTGCTCTTAAACATTTGACATTGTTCAAGTTGCTGTCTTTGTCCTTAGTGGCCCCAGTACTTGAGGCTGTACCAGACCCATCAGTGC